AACACCAGGAAGAAAAGCACCCCTCGCCCAGATGATCCCCACTATGGGGCTCAACTTGTCAGCGAACGAATAATGTGTCTCAAAAACTGCTTTGAGAAGCGATGGCTTCGATGACAAATCGTGCTTTCAAGAGCGCCCCCCTCCCTCCGTGCCGCACCCGGCACAGCTCCTGGCCTCGCCCGAGGCATGATCGGCGGCACCACAAGAGCGCCACCCCAGACACGCTGCTTCAAACCCGGGCGTGCTGCTCTGTCAGGCGATGGCCTCGAACTCCGAGGACAACGTGGGCACTGCTTGATGGGGGGGCGATCACTGACTGGGGGGGGGGCGAGGAGAGTGCACCACTCGCGCCCCATCTTGGGCCCCATGGGGGCATCTTTGGGGCCTCTTTGGGGCGACAGTGGCGCACCTTTCTTCGCACCCCTATTCGGAGGAGGAGGAGGAGGAGGAGGAGGAGGAGGAGGAGGAGGAGGAGGAGGACGAGGACGAGGAGGAGGAGGGGGAGGAGGGGGAGGAGGAGGAGGATGAGGAGAGGAGGAGGAGGAGGAGGATGAGGAGGGAGAGGAGGAGGAGGAGGAGAGAGGAGGAGGAGGAGGAGGAGGGGGATGAGGAGGAGGAGGAGGAGGAGGAGAGGAAGGAGAAGAGAGAGAAGGAGGAGGAGAGAGGAGGAGGAGAGAGGAGGAGGGGGAGGAGGAGGAGAGGAGAGGAGGAGGAGAGGAGAGGAGGAGGAGGAGGAGGAGGAGGAGGAGGGAGAGGAGGATGGAGGAGGAGGAGAGGAGGAGGAGGAGCAGAGAGAAGGAGGAGGAGAAGCAGGAGAGGAGGAGGAGGAGGAGGAGGAGGAGGAGGAGGAGAGAAGCAGGAGGAGGAGGAGGACATTACGCAGCACGCATGCAGCTGGTGAGCAGCAGCAGGAGCAGGAGAGCCAAGCCAGACGGCTCGAGCGAGCCTCTGGGTCCCCCCCGCTCACCACGCACCCCTGAAGACAAAGCCAGGACGAGGATAAAATCGGGAATCTCTGAGATCTGAGATCCGAGAACCTCTGAGATCCGAGGATCGAGAATCGAGCACCTGGGCTGGCACGGAGATGGATCGAGCACCTCCGAGATCCCCGGCAGCTCTGGAGGCTGCCTCGGGCGCCGCGGCCTCCTCGGAGCGTCCAGGCACGCTCCGAGAGCGTTCCGGCACGCTCTGGAACTTACCAGCCTGGAACATATCCCTATCCCTGAGCTGGGCATCGCCTCCTCGCGATGCCAATCTTAGGGGTTCCCTTCGTTTTTTCAGGGCGCGTCCCTAAGATTGTCGTCGCCTTTGGGCGTGTGAATCTTAGGGATAGGGATAAATTCGAGCCTGGAGAGGAACGGACTGCTCCTCGTCCGAGCCCCGCCCTCCCGCGACATCCGAGCCAACGCCGGCGCCCCCCAGCCGCGTCGGCGCGCGAGCACCTGCGGCGCAGCGCCCGTCGGCCGCGGGGGGCGCGCGCACCTGCCCGACCGCAGGCAGGTTGCCGCACCAGCGAGACGGGCCCTCGTCCGCTTCGGCACCTAAGAGCGCTCCCGCCCGAGGACAGGAGGAGGAGGAGGAGGAGGAGGAGGAGGAGGAGGAGGAGGAGGAGGAGGAGAGGAGAGGAGAGGAGGAGAGGAGGAGGAGGAGTAGGAGGAGGAGGAGTGAAGAGGAGAGAGGAGGAGGAGGAGGGATGAGAGGAGAGGAGGAGGAGCGAGGAGGAGGAGTACGAGGAGGGAGGAGAGACAAGGGAGTTTTGAGGAGGGCGGAGAGAAAAGGAGGAAGACGAAGAAGAAGAAGAAGAAGAGGAAGTGAGGGGGAGGAGAGGAGGCACGGCGGAGATGAAGAATGAGGGGGAGGATGAGGAGGAGGCGGAGGGAGGGAGGAAGGAGAGAGGAGGAGGAGGGAGGAGAGGAGGATGACGAGGACAAGAGGAGGAGGGGGAGGAGAGGAAGAGGGAGGAGGAGGAGGAGGAGGATGAGGAGAAGGAGGAGGAGGAGGAGGAGGAGGAGGAGGAGGAGCGCGGCAATCCTCGCAGGATCGGTCAGCATCGGCACAGGCACCGAGGCCGAAGAAGCCGAAGTTGCTTCTCCGACGTCGGCGCTGCAAAAAACTGTGTCCCTGCAGCGTGGCCGATCTTCGGCTGCTGCCTGGGCCTCTCTTGGCGGCGCGCAGAGGGGGGTAGCGGGAGGGGAGAGAGAAGCCTTCTCAGAACGAGGCGGCTTCTGAGACGCCTCCCCCCCACCCCTACCCCCTCTGCGCGTGGGCGACTCCCACGGGGGAGGACAAGGAGGAGGGCCAGTCTAAACACAAGACGCATCAACGATATTGCAATAAGCCCTCCCTCCAAGCCCCCTTTTCATTGAAGGAGTTGGCCCGTTGGAAGACAACCGTTTGACAATCCAGAACTGTGCCGGAACACTATGCCTGGGACTTCAACGTCGCGAATCACCGTTACTGTTGCGTCTTGACGATACTGAGTCGTGCCAGAACACCAGCCCAGGGACTTCAACACTGCGAATCAACTTGACTGCTGCGCCCTGACATCCGTACATCTTGCCGAAATACCAGCTCTGGGACGTTAGCCATGAGAATGTGTGAACTTGCTGCAGACTCTTAAGACGAATGTGCGCGGCGCGAGGGTGATAACAAATTTTGAAAACAGCCCGCCCTCCATCCTCGAAGATTCTTGCAAATGTTTGAAAGAATGCACGCGGTGCGAGTGCGAGAACCACATTTTGAGAACGACCCGCCCACCGTCTGGGAAGCTCTTGCATGTTTAAACGAATGTGCGCGGCGCTCAAGCGAGAACCACATGTTGAAAACTCCTCGCCCTCCATCCGTTAAGCTCTTGCAAGCTGGCAGAAACGAGCGTGCGCGGCGCCAAGGCGAGAGCCACACTGTGAAAACGGCCCGCCGTCCATCCGTGAAAGTCTTGCAAGCTGTCAAGACGAGTGCACGCGGCGCTAAGGCGAGAGCCGCATTTTGAAAAGGGCCCGCCCTCCAGCCGCGAAGGTCTTGCAAATGTTTACCACGAGTATGCGCGGCGCTGAGGCGAGAGCCGCCACATGTTAAGAACGACCCGTCCTCCATCCGTGAAGCTTTTGCTAATCTGAGCTTCAGGATCGTGGATGGTGAGGAAATCTCACGCAGGGGCTAATCTGAGCTTCAGGATCGTGGATGGTGAGGAAATCTCACGCAGGGGGAGAAGGCGCTTTGCTGCTGGGCTCGAGCGCGCAACGAGCGCGGGTTGCAACGCGCACGTGGCCGACGGCGGAAGCCTTGGATCTCGAGCTGCCCCCGCCGCTTCAAGCCGCCCTTCCTCCATTTTGGACCCTCCTGCGGGCCAGCCGCCCTTCTACCTCCGACGGCCGACGCGCACTACCCCCAATGGCCACTCGGTGTACACAGGCGGTCTCGGGGTGAGGCTCTGATGTGGAGGAGGAGGAGGAGGAGGAGGAGGAGGAGGAGGAGGAGGACTGCGCTAGCATAGGCACCGATGTGCTGAGCCAGGAGCCCGGCGAAGAGCGAGCAGAGGCACGTGGGGCACCCTCGTTGCCCCGAGCCCCCGCCCCACGCACGCCCTCCAGCAGGAGGACGGTCCCGTTCGAGGGCAGCCCCTCCGCGTGCCACCTCTGGCTGAGCGCAAGAAGAACCCTGGGCGAGAGGGACCTTGAGTGCGCGGCTTCACGGGGGACGCAAGGTGGACGAAGCCAGGCGCGCCAGCCGCTGCCACCCGCGCCGCGTTCGGCGATCGGGGGACCCCATCTGGGCCAGCACCGAAAGGTCACTCCGGCGAGAGGTCACTCCTGACGTCCAGTCGGCACCTCCGCCTGCCTGGCTGAAGGCAGGGGGAGGGCCACGGCCAACTTCCGCTGGGGGCTCCACCCCGAGGGCCAGGGTGCGCCAGGTGCGAGGCCCTCCCTGGATGCCGCCGCGTGCTCCGGCATGTTGTGGACTTGACCGGTCGCCTGCTGCGCTGCCTCTCCCACGCGTCGGCTCCCGCGCGCCGCGCGGCTCCGCTTCCGCCCCCCCTCCGAGGGCTGCCAAGCACATCGGGTTCACAGGTATGTTCCGCTGGGTGCTCTTCAGACATCGATTCGGCATCATGGCTTCAGTTCGAGCCCACGGGCCGATTTGCGGGCCAGGAAGAGACGCTGCCCGCCCCCAGCAGGAAACGCATCTCCCAGGAAAAATCCTGCGCGGCGCTTGGGCAAGATCGGTCAACATCGAGCCCGAAACTCGAATCGCATCTGAATGAGCGTCGGATCGGGCTGCATCGGCAAAGGAACAAATCGAATTAAATCGGCCGCGCCATGCAGGCATCGGGCCGTATCGGATCATCGGAATTACGGAATCGAGTATGACCGTGCCAGTCAGAATCGATATCGAATCGGATCGATCGGCTCGAAATGGTCTCTGCTTGAGCGAGACAGACGTTCCAATATCTCGGGCACGGACCCGCTTCTGACGAGTTGGCGAGCGAAAGCAACATGCGCCACGCCGAGATGGGAGAGCAAATTTCAGGAGTCACAATTGCACGGCATGTCTCTCTTTTCCGGGGACGAAGCGCGCGCCTTCCGACTCCTGTCACGCATTTTGCAGCGTCGACAACAACATGTCAACACTGAGAAAGCAACCTCGCCTGTGCATTGGCTGTTGATTCACGGATCAGTAGGAAGGCGACAACGATGGGACCGATTGTATTCAATCACATAAGCCCAACGAACAGGAGCACGAGTAGCACGTGATAGAGGGAGAGAATTACAGCTATGAACAGATCGGGGATTCGGATGATAATAAAGCGGATTGCAATCAGGACGGGGTGTCGAGGAGGAAAGGCTAGAATCGGGGAGTTCCTCGACCCCAAGCCAGCCTCAAAACATCCCCGGACCTTCCAAAAACTTCCTCATCGTCCTCTCGCCCGCCCCGCACACCGTCGCATACCCTCTCTTGGCCTCATGCGGCTGCTGCTACTGCCCCTCCCACGAATGCCCCCGTCACCTGGCTCCGCCCTTCCTCTTCTCCCGTCCCTCCGTCGAGCCGGCAAGGCCTGGTGTCGGCCTTGGCCTCCTCCTCCGCCTCCTCCTCCTCCTCCCCCCATCCCTCTTCCTTGTGTCTAACTCCTGCCTGTCGCGCCCCGAGGCGGTCGGCAGTGCGGGCCGGGCGTTTCGCCGAACGCCTCCTTGAAAGGTGCAAGAGCCTCACGGATGGAGCGCGGGCTCGTTCTCAAAGTGTAGCTCTCGCCTCGGCGCCACGCAGGTTCGTTTCAAAACCTGGCAGGGGCTTCGCGGATGGAGGGCGGGCCGTTTTCAAAATGTGGCTCTCGCCTGAACGCCCCGCACATTCGTCCCGTAACTTTGCAAGGGCTTCACGGATGGAGGGCGGTTCTTTCCAAAATGTGGCGACTTGCGCCACGCACATTCGTCTTCAGAGTTGGAAGCGAAGGAATATTATGGCTGACGTCGCAGAGTGGGTGACTTGGCACGATGCAAGATTGCCAGGGCGCGACACTCACGATGATTCGCAGTGTTGACGTCCCAGAGACGGCGTCCTGGCACGATTTGGGACCGTCATGTCGCAACAGTAACGTTGATTCGCGGCGTTGAAGTCCCAGGAATGGCGTTTGGTATGGTTGGAGATTTTCAGACGGTTGCCCTCCAACCGGGCCTTTCCCGCAGAGAAGAGAAATCCCCATGGAAGCCTACGAATAGAGAACTTTGAGGGAGGGTTTACTGCAACATCGTTGGCGAGTCTCGGGTTTACACTTGTCCCCCTCCCCCTCCTCCTCCTCCGCCTCCTCCTCCTCCTCCTCCTCCTCCTCCTCCTCCTCCTCCTCCTCCTCCTCCTCCTCCTCCCCCCCCTCCCTCCTCCTCCTCCTCCTCCCTCCTTCTCCTCCACCCCTCCTCCTCCTCCTCCTCCTCATCCTCCTCCTCCTCCCCTCCTCCTCCCCTCCTCCCCCGTCTCAAATCTCCTACCTCCTGCTTCCTCTCCCCTCCCCTCCCTCCTATCATCCTTCTCCTCCGCTCCTCCTCCTCCTCCTCCTCCTCATCATCATCCACCTCCCCTGTTCAAAATCTCAAACCTTCTCCCCTCCTTTCCCCTCCCCTCCTCCTCCTCCTTCTCCTCCACCTCCTCTTCCCCTCCTCCTCCTCATCCTCCTCCTCCCCCGTCTCAAGATCTCCTACCTCCTCCCTCCCCTCCCCTCCCCTCCTATCCTCCTTCTTCTCCGCCTCCGCCTCCTCCTTCTCCTCCTCCTCCGCGTCCGCCGCCAAATTCCTTCCGCCTGAGTTCCTTTGATTCCGCCTTCCCTCACTGCCCTCCGATCGTTCCCTCCCCCTCCCCTCCTCCCCCCCGCCCCTCCCCTCCTCCCCTCCGCCCCTCCCCCCGCCCTGACGCAGGAGCCGTGGGGGCGCGCGGGCTGACTGCCGGAGGCGCCGGGGGACCGTCCTCGTAGTTCTGCAGCGTCTCCTGCTTCAGCGGGGCCAGCTGCGGCCCCGGCATGGCGTTCCGCAGCTCCTCTGCCCCGCGCGCGCGGGGGGCGGCGGCGCTCCCGGCCCAAGCCGAGGCCCGAGGGCTCGAGGGGTGGCGGTAGTCCTGGGCGGCCTGGGCGGTGGTCCGGCCGTGCTCGAGGGCGGCCTTCGGAGGTGGGGGGCAACGTCACAGAGGGACTGGCTCAGGCGGGGAGGGCCCAGACCACTCCGGGCTATGTAAAAATCACCTCCTCCTCCTCCTCCTCCTCCTCCTCCTCCTCCTCCTCGGAAAGTGTTTCACTATGTTCGGCCTCTGGGAGCCCTTACGGGCCCTCGGGGCCGTGACAGAAACAACTCGGGGCGAAAAACCGATCCCGGGAAATGGGTCGAGACCTCTGGGGGTCGGCGACCTGAAAAAATTATGACGTCGGGGGTCTGGGGGGGGACCTCGAGCTGGAATCGGCGATGCATCGCCGGCGGACCGGCGTTTGGCCGCCGACAGCGAAGCCGCACCCTCCATGGCGGGCTGTGTGTGCGTGTTTGTGAATGTGTGCGTGTGCGTGTGTGTGTGTGTGTGTGTCTGTGTGTGTGTGTCTGTGTGTGTGTCTGTGCGTGCGTGCGTGCATGCGCGTGCGCGTGCGTGCGTGCGTGCGTGCGTACGTGCGTGCGTGGCGTGCGTACGTGCGTGCGTGCGTGCGTGCGTGCGTGCGTGCGTTCGTGCGTGCGTGCGTGCGTGCGTGCGCGCGCGGGTGTGGGTGTGGGTGTGGGTGTGGGTGTGGGTGTGGGTGTGGGTGTGGGTGTGGGTGTGCTTTGTCGTGTGCGTGTCGTTGCGTGCGCGCGTGTGTGCGCACGCGTGCCGTGCGTGCGAGTGCGTGCGTCGTGCGGTGCGTGCGTGTGCGTGCGTGCGCGTGCGTGCGCGTGCGTGCGCGTGCGTGCAACGTGCGCGTGCGCTGCGTGCGCGTGCGTGTGCATGCGTTTGCGTGCGGTTGGCGTGCGAGTGCGTGCTGCGTGCGTGCGTCTCTGTCCTCTGTCTCTGTAGGGTGTCTCTGTCTGTCTCTGTCTTGTCTCTGTCTCTGTCTCTGTCTCTGTCCCTTGTCTCTGTCCTTTGTCTGTCTGTTCTCTTGTCTGTGTCTGTGTCCGGTGGCTTGCGTGTGCGTGTGTGCGTGTGCGTGTGCGTGTGCGTGTGCGTGCGCGTGCGCGTGCGCGTGCGCGTGCGCGTGCGCGTGCGCGTGCGCCTACGCCTGCGCCTGCGCGTGCGCGTGCGCGTGCGCGTGCGCGTGCGCGTGCACCTGCGCCTGCGCGTGTGCGTGTGCGTGTGCGTGTGCGTGTACGTGTGCGTGCGCGTGCGCGTGCGCGTGCGCGTGCGCGTGCGCGTGCGCGTTCGCGTGCGCGTGCGCCTGCGCCTGCGCGTGCGCGTGCGCGTGCGCGTCGCGTGTGTGTGTGTGTGTGTGAGTGTGTGTGTGTGTGTGCGTGCGTGTGCGTGTGTGTGTGTGTGTGGGTGTGTGTGTGCAATCGGGCCCCATATCAGCGATGAGTGGGCGATTGCGGATCGACGCCTCCCCCCCGGGACACTTTTCCCTCGCAACTTGGCATGGGGAAAGCAGGTCCCGAGGGAACTGGGCCCTGGACCCCGGGGCCACTCCCCAAGGACCAGCTCTCCATCCTGAGCCGTTTTCTGATACTTGAGTCCACCTCCCGCCGTTTTCTGACAGCTTCATCCTTCCGTCCCGAAGAACCACTTGGTGAGAGCCACCCGCCCTCCAGACGTGAATTCACTGCAACTTGATGCACATAATGCGTGCGGCGCGAAGGCGAGAGCTACATGTTCACAACCACCCGCCCTCCACCCGGGCAACGGTTGGATATTTCAAGCTTCAGGATCAGAGATGGCAAGGAGAGCCCAGTAGAAACGCCCAGCCCACCTGAGCGACACGTCTGGGGATGCGGAGAGGGAGGAGTGGCTCATAAGGAAAATGGATGGAGGAAGGAGGAAGGATCAATGAGGAGGAGGAGGAGGAGGAGGAGGAGGAGGAGGAGGGAAGATGAGAAGACTTGTCCACGGTTCCAAGTGGGCGTGGGGGGGGAATTGAGGGCTCTGGTGGCTGCCAGGGGTCACATCCCGCCCTGATCTTCTTCCCCCGTCCCCTTCTCATACTGCTCTTGCTCCTCTTCCTCACCCTCCTCGCATGTGGGTTAGGGGGGGAGGGACGACAGCAGCGCGAAAGCTCCTCTGGCAGGGCGTTCAGGATGTCTTTCACGTACTGCACGTAAGTCGGGTATGCCTCGGAGAGGTCCTGAGGGAAGGCGTGGGGAGAAGGGGGAGGCGGAGAAGGAGTGGTACGAGGAGAACTGTGAGGAGGATGAGGCGGAGACCGGGGGGGATGGGGGAGACGAGAAAGAAGATCAAGACGAGATGAACGACGAAGAGCAGGGCAGGAGAACCTGACAGGGGAACACATGCAAGAGGCAGAGGCACGGACACGAACGAAGGCGGCGGATGGCGGAGAGTTGCGGAATCCCAAGGGGTCTTGCAAGGGGGTGCTGTGCGGCCACATTCGGGGCCAAATCAGCGGGGGTCTCAGGCAGATCATGATTTGGGAGACGTGGACGTGTCGATACGCGTCTGGAGAGGAGGCTAAGGACGAGGAAGGAGAGGAGAGGGAGGAGCTGGAGGTGGACGTGCTACGAGGGAATCGAACAGCGGGCCCGGGAGGCGGCCAGGACTCAGGACCACAGCCGTCCCCAGAGTCCGCACAGCTAGGCAGACGGCCCAGCAGCTACAGCCACCACCTGCACGACGGACGCCGCGGAGGCGAGGGCGAAGGAGCGAAGGAGGAGGGAGGAGGAGGAGGAGGAGCGGGAGCAGGAGCGGAAGGAGGTGAGGGGTTGAAGAGGAGAGGGAAGGGGCGTCATCGCAATCAGCATCATCACCGCCATCGCAACAACCATGAATAGCCATCATCACCATCGCCACCGTCAGTATCATCATCATCATCATCATCATCATCATCATCATCATCATCATCATCATCATCATCATCATCATCATCATCATCATCATCATCCTCATCCTCATCCTCATCCTCATCCTCATCATCATCCTCATCATCATCATCATCATCATCATCACCATCATCATCATTATCATTATCAGCATCGTCGTCGTCATCGTCGTCATCGTCGGCAGCACCACCATCATAAGCCGCAGCTGCGGCAGCATCCCTCAAACATTGAACTCCAACCTGCTGTGTGGGGGTGCGCTCCCACGAGAAACTCGCAGGGAATCCAGCCGTGGCGACGAGGAGCTCCCCAGATCCCCCAAAACAAACAAGAATGTCCAATAACATCGATACTCGAAGCCAGATCCTCGAACCGCGAATCTTCTTCTTCTCCTCCTCCTCCTCCTCCTCCTCCTCCTCGTCCTCCTCCTCCTCCGCACATCCTCCTCCTCCTGCCCCCTCCCTTCTCAGAGGCCTCAACACCTGCTTCCATCACATTTCCTTGTGGATAGTTCCTCCCTGTCGCACCCCCAGGCGTGTCGGCATGGCTGGCTGGGCGTTTCACCTCAGACTTCCTCGCCGTTCCTGACCCTGAAGCTGGGAAGTAGCAGCACTGTTACTAATGTAGTGGGGGCGGTTTTCAGCATGCGGCGCTCGCCTTAGCGCCGCGCGCATTCGCCTTAAGCGCCTGCAGCAATTTCTAGGATGGAGGGCGGGTGGTTTTAAGAATGTGGCTCTCACTTAGCGCCGCGCGCATTCGTCAATTTCACGGCTGAAGGCGGGTGGTTTTCACCATGTGGCTCTCGCCCTAGCGCCGCGCGCACATTCGTCTGAACAGCTTGCTAGTGGAGGGCAGGTCGGTTTCAAAATGTGTCTCTCGTCCCAGCGCAGCATACATTCGTCTTAAACGTTCGCAGCAGCTTCACTGATGGAGGGCGTGTGGTTTTCAAAATGTGACTCTCGCCTAGGCGCCGCGCATACGCATTTTCAAATTTCGTAACAGTCTGAACGATTCGTATGGCTGACGTCCCAAGAACGGAGTTCTGGCACGATTCAGGATTGCCTGGACGCCGCAGTCACGTTGACTCGCGGTGCTGACGTCCCAGAAATGGTGTTGCAACGAAATTTAGAACTGTCAGGACGCAACCGTCACGTTGACTCTCGGCGCTGAACTCCCAGGAATTATCTTTTGGTACAACTGAGGGTTCACAGACGGCTGTCTTCTAACGGGACACTTCCCGCAATGAAACATAAAAAGCATTGTAGGCTCCTGTGAAGAGAGAACTTGGAAGGGGGGGGTTGTTGCAACATTATTGAACAGCCTCCTCCTCCTCCTCCTCCTCCTCCTCCTCCTCCTCCTCCTCCTCCTCCTCCTCCTCCTCCTCCTCCTCCTCCTCCCCCCCCGAAGGCCTGGATCTGCGTGAGGTGCTGGCACAGCGCGGGCCACACGGGCAGGCGGTCCAGAAACTGCTCCAGCGCGAGGATGCCGAACTTGAACATCTCGCGCGCGGAGGGAGGGAGGAGGACCATGATGAAGACGAGGAGGAGGAGGAGGAGGAGGAGGAGGAGGAGGAGGAGGAGGAGCCGAGCAAACCCCGGGATGAGGAGACCGACGACGACGAACACCAATGGAGGCCAGCGTGTCTCTGCAATCGATGCTCCAAGTGGCCCCTGGACAGGCGAGGCGCAGCAGCAGCAGGCGCAGGACGAGGCCGGCAGAGGAGCGCTGGCCGCAGCAGGAAGAGGGGGGAGGAGGGGGATCACGAGCGGCGAACAGGTGCGGCCACACGCAAGAGTGACCTTTGGTGCGCGGCGTTGGTGGAGTCGCGGGGGGGCCGCGTACGTGTACGTCCGGCGGGTGCTGGAAATCCTGAGCCAGAAACAGCCGGCATGTCTTGTCGACTACACGCAGGAGTGGCCCTGGGTAAGGAGTGACGTTTGGTGCGCCGCATTTGGGGGACCGCAGGGGGGACCAGACACAAGCGCGCCAAACGCTACTAGCGCATCGCGATCGGCGATCGGGGGGCCCCAACGGGCCCGCACAAAGGTCACTCCGGCGAAGGGTCACTCCTCCGTGTAGACGACATATCCGCATCCGCGCCCTCCAGTCTGGATTCTGGGGCTCGCTTCCGCGGATACGCGGCCGCACGGACATGAAAGAGCGCCCTTTATCCGCGGGGTCCCGGTCCAGGGGCCCGGCCCGCGAGGCCGCGGATGCGGATGTGCTCTTCGCCGACGGGGGGAGAAGGGGGGGAGGAGCAGCACCAGCAGCAGAAGAAGGGAGCTACACTTCAACGCCCTGCGGGCCCCGCACTCTCCCAGAGCGAATGTGTGGAACGTCTACGCGTCATCCTCCCCTCCCTTGTCGTCATCATCGTTCTCGTCCTCACCGCCTGCATCATCAACAATAGCAGCATCAGCACTATCATCACAATGATCGCCATCATCACCGTAACCATCATCATCGTCCGAGAAATGCGTTCTTTAGCCGAACAGGTCGACCTCGCGACTCCTCGCGCCGACGCGTTCCCGATGCCGTAGGTGGAAAGGGGGGTCCGGATTGAGTGGGCAAATAGAATACCAGGAGATCCTGACAGTATCGTTGAGGGCGACATGTTTGCAGTTCGTGTACCTGGTGCCTCGCTCACGAACGAATCGTGCCGGCTGGGCTTTCACTCTGGTCGATCATTCGTCTGGCCTCGAGGCTGGCAGGGTGCGAGTCGCGGGTCCAGTGTGCGTGGCACTTGCTAACAGACCCCGCAAGCCGCAGAGTTTCACGAGCTGCCGACCGCTGTGCAATTAGGCCGCGGGCCTATGCGACAGCTTTCCAGACTGTCAGAACTGTGTTGGTTTTGCGTAGCTGCGCTGGGAGGAGCAAACCCCCTCAAAACGTACGCACGCGAGTATTGCACAGTCTGTCCACGAGCAGCGGCACCGTGTTCAGGTTTCTAGGGCCAAAGCCTATCACGACATCGAGTCTGCCACCGCTTAGTGGGACCGATACCTCAGACAGGGGAACTCTTGGGTGGAACTCTCGGCTAAGGCCGCGGTGTCCTTGCATCCTCCTCCCAAGTCTGAACTTCAGGGTCTGGACCGCAATCTGGCCGTCGCCTGAGCTGTGGGGCATCGGGCAGCTCAACTTCTTGCCCTGTGGCCGAAGCTTGCCACGGGCCCAGACGTGGAGCGAAGAGCTGAGATCCTCCCGAGAGGCAAGGTCCAAGCTCAGCTCTGCACCAGTGGCACTGGGTAGAGCCGTGCTGCAGTGTGGCAACACAGGCCTCGGATAAAAAAATAGCGAACACGCCTGCCACATTCATCGGTCAACGCCTCCACACACCCCACTCAAACGTCCACACAGCTGGCGGTGGCTCTGATGAGCTGCGCTCGAACCGCAGTCTCCCATGCGCATGCCAACTTTGAGCCTGGGGGAGCGGGGGAGTGTCCACGAATGGTTTCCCCGTGCCGCGCTGGAGGGTCGTGCTCCCTCTCCCCCCGAGAGTCCGGTCTTCTTCCTCCTCCACCTCATCCTCCTCCTCCTCCTCCTCCTCCTCCTCCTCCTCCTCCTCCTCCTCCCCGAGTCTCTGCGGGCTTGGGGGCATCGGTGCGTGCGGATCGTGTGCTCGGGTGGCAATTCTGCCGTGGCTGCAGCAGGTGCCATTACGTCAACCCGGGGGAGGAGCGGCCTCAACCACCTCGGGCGGCGGCAACCCCGGGGCCAAGTTGAAGCGGGGGCATCATCCGCATCCGACGAAGCCTGGGGTCACTGTGGGGTTGAGCACGTTTGCTGTTATTCAGTTGTCGCAGGCCTGTCAGTCGTCTAGCTTGATGTCAGGTTTGGTTCAGTGCCCCTGGTGGTCTCGCCCGCCACCTTGCGGAGTATGTGGGCAGCGCCTGATTGATGGCACAAAGACCTCTTCCTCACCCGACCTCGCATCCCAAGAGCAAGGGGAAGCACAAGTACCCCGACGCCCATGACTGGCGTTTACTCCGCCATCGCGACCCCTGCCACGCTGAGGCGTGGGAAGACTGGCAAGTGCTGTCTTGATGGCCCTCTGAGTTCTAATAACAAGGCCCCCCCTCTTCGAGCAGCGCCCCCCCGCGTGCACCCCGCCACTTCCTCCCGAGGCCAACATCTGAGCATTATCTTAGGGTGGAAGACTCAGGGTGAAATCCATGTAGGCAGTTGCACCTCGAAAATCAGTCCGTCTTGTGATTCACCTTTTGCAGATTCCAGCCTCGAAAATCATTCGAAACGGCATTTCAGATTTCACCCTTTGCCCTCCACACTAAGATCCCTCATTTCAAAGAAAATGGTCGGAAGATCCCTCATTAAAACAACGATGGATCGGTACCCCCGAGGCCACGACGGCCCCCGTAACAAACAAGACCAAGCGGCCGCGCCCTGAGCTTTCAAGGTGGCCACTGCAGGCAACCACGGACACCAGGGTTGCGAGGACGACGACGCCCCTTCCCGAATTTGGCTCCAGTACGACTCAAGATGCCCCCAAGAGGGCCCTGCAGGGCCACAAGAGAACTTCCATCAAGGTCCGGAGATGTCAAACTCACTGATGTCCCGCGGATGTGTGAATGATTGTCTCATGCTCGCTTGTTCGGGCTTCCGTCAGCTCAAGGCGGCCCAAGAAATCTCCACGATGGCCCCAATACGATCCAAGAGGTTCACAAGAGGGACCTAGGATTGCCCAAGAGACCTCCACGATGGTCCAAGAGGCATCCAAGACGGCCCCAGAACGGCCCAAGAGAAGACCTCCCATGGGATCAAGATGGCCGCAGACAGCATCTCGATGGATCAAGACGGCGCCAAGACGGCTCCACGGCGGCCCTCAGACACCCAAAATGCGGCCAACAGGCACCCAGGACGGCCCAAGAGAGATCCAGGACTGCGTGATTAAGAGGGCCTCACGACGGCTCAAGGAGGGCCCGAATGAAGCCCCAAGAGCTCACTGACGACGAAGGCAGCCCCCCGACAGCCAAAACGAGTTCCTTGAGAGCTCCTCCTTCCCCTCCTCATCCAACCCCTCCTTCTCCTCCTCCTCCTCCTCCTCCTCCTCCTTTCGCCCTCTTCCTCCTCCGCCTCCTCCTCCTCCTCCGCCTCCTCCTCCTCCTCCTCCGCCCCCCCCTCCTCCCTCCTCCTCCTTCCTCCTCCTCCTCCTCTTCCTCCTCCTCGTCCTCAGCCTCCTCCTCCCCTTCATTCTCTAATCGGCACCTTCTTCATCATCATCATCATCATCATCATCATCATCATCAGCAGCAGCAGCAGCAGCAGCAGCATCATCGTTATCATCACCATCACCATCACCATCACCATCAACATCACCATCACCATCACCATCACCATCACCATCACCATCACCATCATCATCATCATCATCATCATCATCATCATCATCATCATCATCATCATCATCATCATCGTCATAATCATCATCCACATCAGCAACAACACCACCAGCATGATCGTCATCATCACCACCAGCATCACCGTCATCACCACCATCATCATCAACAGCATCAGCATCATCATCACCATGTTCGCCATCATCAGCATCACCATCATCATCAGCATCATCATCATCATCAGCGTCATCATCATTTGCAGCATGAGCATCATCAGCAGCATCAGCATCATCAGCATCATCGTCCTCATCCTCCGAATCAGGATCATCATAAGTATCGTCATTTACAGCATCATCAACATCATCAGCATCATCATCACCACCATCACCGTCAACACCACCACCATACTCATCATGGCCACCATCATCATCAGCATCATCATCATACTCATCACCATCATCACCAGCATCATCATCATCACAACCGTCATCATCATCATCATGAACATTATCATCAGCATCATCGCCATCACCACCGTCAGCATCATCAGCATCAGCAACAGCATGCTCAATAACATCAGCAGCAGCATCAGCATCATCAGCATCAGCATCATCAGTATCATCATCATCAGCCGCAACATCAACATCGTCACCGGTAGCATCATCATCAGCAGCATCATCATCACCACCATCACCAGCATCATCATCAGCATCATCCGCATCATCATCATCAGCATCATCATCATCAGCAGCATCATCACCATTAGCATAATCATCTTCATCGCACGCGTCATCATCTTCATCGCTCGCATCATCCTCACTCGCATCATCCCCCTCTCCCTTCACACCATCATGACCAACACCACCAGCATCATCAGCAGCATTGCCATCATCATCCTCATCATCTCCACCAGCATCACCATCATCACCAGCATCAGCATCACCAGCATCGTCACCATCATGTTCAGCATCATCAGCATCATCACCATCATCATCATCAGTATCACAAACATCATCGCCATCGTCATCGTCATGAAAGTCGTCATCATCACTCGTAATCGCCATCATCCTCAACGCCTTCATCACCTTTCCCCTCCTCATCATCATCATCACAATCACATCATCAGCACTGGTAGCAGCATCATC